CATCCCTGGGGCTGTCATGGCCAAACTCCATGGAGACGACGGCCATGCAAAAACCAGCACATAAAACCAAAGGCTACGTAAGTCAGTATCTACTCATGCTGATATATACTATGTAGTTGACCGCATTCAAACTATGCAGTCAGTGAGAAAATAACAGTTCCGATTTCTGGCAGTAGTTCCGTAAATTAATCCAACGATTCTCACTTCCATAAAGATAAAACGAATTCCGTTGTTCAAGTACCAAACCCAAATTTATGTCCTGGCTGCCTTCTTTTCATAAAATTCATTTAAATTCATTTTTTTCTAAAAAAATAGAGAGCGTTCATTAAAACAAGTAGACAAAGCACAAGCTTTTGTGTTAGGGAATATTTAAGTTATCTAAAGCGTTAAGATTTTGTCAGCTATTTAATTCTTACTAATTAGGGCCAACCAATAGGGGCCCTTGCAAACAACTGTGACGGCCAAAAGGCTATTTTATTCCTATAGCTATCGCCATCGGCTAATCGAAACCACAAATTACAGCAGGTTAATTAGGTCGTGGAAAATGCAAATATTCGCAAACAATCGCGGAGAACTCAGAAAATGTTAATACGAATGCTCCGATAAAGAAAACCGATTAGATGAAAGGAAAATCCAAAAGATATTTTATGAAATATTCGGCGTATAAGAAATTGCTTTTCAACTTATTAGTCGGTCAAAGAACTTAACACTCTACATTTTAGGTATCCCCTGCTGCAGGCCTCCAAGGTACCCACATGAAGTCGAACCAGACAGACTCTGTGGCAATTCAACCGTCTTCAAGTCAGGTCACCCCTGCCGATTGTTCAGGCCCTCCACCCATCATGGGTTACCGTGCTGTGGTAACGAGTCGCCCCGATAGGCATTTCTACCCGCTAGCACACACCTACCAAGGGAAGTCCAACATAGCTGGTGATAGCAGAAGCGGCACAGGACTGGCAGGAGGAAATTTATTAAATCCCGTTTCAACGGAGAAATTCCACTTGGCTGGCACATCACCAACACAGAAAAATCCTCTGCATTAGAACGTACATACACCTGATTTTCTAAAGAACGGCCAGTCAAGGACACACGACGAAAGATATCTTTATTTGTCAGTATTTGCGTATACTGGATTATATTTACATGGCAAAAGCACCAGAAGCCTTTAACCATTTGCAAAATTAAACTGATGTTAAAGTGTTCAAGTACGACTGCTACATTATCTCCTGGACCTTTGCAAGACCCTGAGAAGTGAAGCAGATTATTCAACAAGAAGCACTTCTTTCGTACGGTCAGTGACCGCTTTCATGCTACGTTAACTGAAATTTTAAAATTTGTTTTAGATTAGGAATGGTTACTGCAATGAAACTGTAACTTTTATTAACTTTAAAATAACCTTAACATGCTTCGGACACACCAGGATGCCGGATTTTGAACAAACTCCTCTGCAACTACGAAAAGAAACCTCATTCGAGAAAAATGAATCCTTAAATCGTGTGTGTTTGTTCTATAGATTTTCGATGTCAATGAAATCCTGCCAACCCCCCCCCCTATTAATAAAGTAAGCCTAGTAGTTATTCTGGTTGATTGTAGATGATTGCTTAGGCAATCCTGCCTGGGCATTCAGCTTACTCTATCTTTAATGGTGGATTTCAAATGAGCAGTAGGTGAGCGGGTAAATTAACTCAAATGTGATTACATTCAAAGCTTCGGCGTGCCTCCCTAGCTCAATGGTTGAGCGTTGGCTGTGGACTCGAATCCCACAGACGCCACGATTTTTGACAATTGGGTCAACTGAATTTAAACATACTTAATAACAACAAACATTTTATTCCCCACTTTCATTTGATAGCTAATCGTGTCTTCTTCAATTTTATCACTCGAAAAGGCTATCTTTTCGGTCTAAAAATCTCTGATTGTGAAATCTTTTTTAGATTGAACGGTGTTCATTCAAATCGCATCATATGTGTATGTTTAATAGCGCTCCTCATTAAGTATAGGACATAGTCCACATGCATCACCAGATTGTATAAGCACGATCTGTTGTCTTTCTAATGTCTTACAACAATTTATGATAATCCTTCCAAGAAAGACCTATAGCATGTAGATTGGAAACCCTTAAAGCAAATAAAACGCAAGGTCGGGCTCAGAATGGTCCAGAAAATGGAAAACTCTTCACAACCTAAACCTTACCTTCTTCTAAGGATAAAATTTTAAGAAGCTGTGATTTGCTATAAAATAAGTACAAGGAAGAATTGTTTAACCTATATTTGCTGTAAAATAAGTTTGAATTTGTATGTGCATCCAAGACCCAGAGACAAAATGCACCCGACTTAAGTAGTCATTTTTGCCGAGTAAGGTTTATTCAGTAGGCTGAACAAACGTTCGTTCAAACTCCGGCCTCCAGCCTTGCATAAAATATCTTAGGATTATGCGCCAAGGTCATAAATATTACAATTCCGATTAAATACTAACTCCTGGCCTATAACTTATTTCAATATTTTGTTTAATATTGTATGAGATTGGTCAGTGACTGCATGTGTCAAAATCCCATTCAAAGGTGATATCTTCGATGAAATCGATGATATCTTCAAGTGGAAATACCCCGCTGCCAACTGCATATTCGTAAGCCTTGCGAAGACCATCAAAGTTAGAAATTCGCTTTCAAAATTTATCAGAATAGATTAAATGTACGGAAGATTTAGTTTTGTCGAAAGAGTCGCGGCTTTATCTTGGGGAACTCGTTGGGGGTCATATTTTCCCTTTGCTTGAGCTATCCGTGAACTACCGCCTGTTTTGTGAATGACCAGTCAGTGGCACGTTTTTGTCTAAGTTCGATGCCTCACCTACCCAAGTCTGGGAACCTGACAACCAGGTGCAACTCGATGTTTGATTTTCGTGTCTGCTTTCCTTTAGTTTTTTTCTCTTTCTGTTAAATTTAAGAACACACATGCTCAGATCTAAGCTCCTGTTCTACGGTAGATCTTTTAAAGTGATACTAGAGAACGGGGGTCCTGTGGTTTTAATATGTATGGATACAACCTGTAATGAGCCGACATTTTTAGAAGGGCGGATTGCCACATAAGATGGGTGGCAGTGGGTCGGTTCGTTCTAAAGAAGCTATTTAAATAAGTGCGGGTACAGACATGGAACCACGTGACAACTCCAGTTCCAAAATCTCATTTACATAATGGGAGCTAACATGCACTTTATTCTACCTCTTGTGCCGTTTGATATTAAATACCAGTCAGTCTTATGGTTTTAAGTCTCAAGAACGTCCTTAGCAAAACCTCACACAACGTTAGTTGTCATTAACCTCCGCTAAGTTTACTTAAGCCTATTGTAAGAAGCAATAACTGGGTTGCTCTTTACGACGACGTAGTCAATTGACGCATATAAAGAAAAGGTAAGAAATTTTAATTAGTAGAAAGCAATCGATGATGCGATCCCACGCAAAGAACACGTCAAGATAAGCCGAGCCCGATACCCTGGATATGACGAAATCGACTTCCCACACCGTCTAGTGAAGAACAGCAGTAGAAGCTAAATGTCCGCTATTGATACGTAATGCAAATCAGTTGAAGTGTAGCGCGTAACACTTGTACACCAGCTTAAATAAAAAGTGACAAATGTAAGCTACAGAAATTCGTAACCAATAGAATTCATCTACGAAGTTGTATACACATAAAAGAGCGACAAAATTGTGAATAAATACAAGTATGGCAAAGGGCTACCACTAGATCACACTGTACTGCCGCACATTTTGGCACGCATTCCCACGGGCCAAGAATGTCTGCCGACCGCCGGGTCTGAAACTTTTAAACCAGGTCCACGCTGTCAACCTACTTTCGGGACCCGAGTTGGCCTGACGCGATTTTTCTCATTGATCGCAATCTCAACGCATCCATTTCCTGCCACGGAGTTAACAGCTTTCGCTTGCATGATCCCACTGCGGCCGCAGTTTACGGTCTCAGCGTGCCCCGGTCGGACTTGTTCGACTTCAGCTCAGCTATAACTCCGTTAGAATGTCTGAAAATCTTCTGTCCTTCCTGCAACAACCATGCTCATTTATTCAGTGGACGAAACTACATGTTGCCTTTGCCTGATGTTGTCTTTGCCTCTGACGTAGTGTGGAATGCATGGAGTGTACAAAATAACCGATAGAAGTGAACATGCAAAATCCAGGAAGCATTTCAGAAAAAGAGGCGACTGTTTATTGGTTTCCCGTTTTAGATTTTAACGCTGACGCACTGTCAGAAACAGTCACCGAAAAGGATACTGGAACCAAACAGTAGGCTGTATTCATAGAACGCAGTTGTCAGGTGCCAACATATCCAAAATAATTTGAAGTAATCGTAACAATATGTGAGGGTCCTAGTTGATGCAATGAGTACCCGAGTCGCTAATCATCGTGATTGCCTCGCTGTTGTCAATTTCTGGTCTGAGGATTACTCTAACGAGAAGAAGACGACTCGATCACTGGGACAACACTTATTCGCCCGACTTTTTAAGACCCTTCGCGAATTCATCATCAGAGACATAAGCAGAAAGCAGTAGCTCTCTCCGTGACTGTTAATCACCCACTCTTTCTTCGCGTGCCTCATAATCTTGCCCAGGAGTAGAGAATATGACTGCGGGAAGTAACTGCGTTTTTTAATTGAATTCTGAGCAGCTCAAACAGTTCGCGGTTCACGCAGTTGTCACTTCTTGTGAGAATTTCGGATTCGTAAGACTTGAGGGTGCGTTTGGGTCCCGTCGAAGGAGCTGCAGTTTGCGAG